CTCTCTCTCTCTCTCTCTCTCTCTCTCTCTCTCTCTCTCTCCCTCTCTCACTCTCTCTCTATTGCACCCGTCGACGTAATTTCGTCCCACGTCGCACCCGGCATCCCGTACATTTGTAATTCATACAGCTTCATTGAAAAAGTATCGTCAAGCGTTATGCTAATATGAACGCGGAGTATTATTCACGGCCGTATGTCACTGACCACCTACCTACCCGCGCCTGGCGTAACTGAATAATAGTACATCTCTCTCTTTCTCTATCTATCTCTCTTTCATTCCTTCGATTTCGTCGCGCATTTTCCTCCACCTGCCTTTCTCTTTCGGACAGGATTAGGTTTTCCTAGCCTCTTATCTTCCTCGGCTGTCTGTCCGTCCGACCGTCTATCCGTAGCTGTCTATTCGTTCTGCCGAGGCGCGTGTCGAGAAACCATCGCGAGATTCGTGCGTTCGCCGTTTGCATCGACGAGCTGCGCGTAGACATCCTCGCGAGTACGTACGTGGAAGTATTACGAGTCGAGAGACGATATTAAATTATAATTCGCGGCACGCTCTACCGCGTTACCTCATACTTTCCTTTACTATTTATAGGCCGATGCTCGCACGCTCGCTCATTCGTTCGCTCACTTGCTCATTCGTTCGTACTTCTTGCTCTAGCGAGAGCTATGAACCGGCGCCGAGGGAGCACGCTAACGCGCTCGCGAGCGCAGTTACAGTCGTGAGAAATCGCAGTTGCCGATGTGGCAGACGCTGCAACGACGCCGACGACGACGACGACGACGATACGTGTGTGTACGTGTGAGTAGACCGCGGCGAGAAAATTGAAACGTTCCTATGCAGATTACGCGAGAGGCCGTGTACCCGCGCGTTGAGTAATACCTGACGAATAGTCCTTGCTACAACGTCGCGGCACTTTGCGCGTTGAACGTAATACGACCTACCCTCCCCTCCGAGGGCGATATACCAGGCCGCTTTCTATGGGTTTCAAGTGGAGACTTGTCAAAGAAAGAGCGCCTAGTTAAAAAGACAGGAGTCAGGGATACTTAGTTGCGAGTAGCGTGATTACATCACCCTATTTATTGTTATGTGATGATAATTACACAATGTCACATGGTTGACACGTCAAGTTAATTTGATTCATCAGCCACATCAGTGTAGTTGCGCGTGACCTGATTGCGGTAATCAGAAATCGATTGGGGTGGCATTCACCATGGATTGTTGGAGCAACGAGACGTATCGTCACTGTAACACAGTAATTGTTCTGTGGTTGCAGCAATCACATACGTAGTTGTTCCGTATGAATCTACTGTTGAATCCAGTTGGCACAATCAGACTTGTGTAAGCCAATTATACTTTTTTCCGTGCAAAGTCGATCGGTCGCCGAGCTGCGATCGCAGCTCATTTATGCGGCGGGATATTCGGTCGATCGATCTCCTTGTTGGTTCGGAGAACAAAAACGCCGTATCGCGGTGCATAGTTAGGAGAGATCTTTGTATATTTACTTGTCCAATGCGCGGATTTTACGGATTAAGTCGCGGTTAGTATCGCCGTTGATCAGGCTCGAGGGCAGTTTACGCCATTCCCTGTCTGGCGAGTGCAAACTCGGTTTCATTGTTAGACCGCGCCATTGCCACCCACAACCATCTCTTACTTTCTTTCTACGGCTCGCGAGTTAAATCATCACTGTGCTTACTACAACCTGGTTACATGTATACGTGGCTGGGCGCGGATAAATAAGCGGGCAAACGCGCCCTCGCGCGCGAGCACTCGTGTACTTCGTCTGCTCGACCCTCGAGAAAATCTCGACGATGTCGCAAGACGATATTCCAGGAAGACAGAGAGAGAGAGAGAGAGAGAGAGAGAGAGAGAGAGAGAGAGAGAGA